CCGCGTCTCCTCCGCCAGGAACACATGCCACATTGAACGTAGCACGTAAGGCCAATAAAAATGCGCTCACGACCACCAGACGAGATCCTTGCGTCCCACCACCCCGTACTTAAGGGGGTTCCGTTGAGCATCTCCGGCCCTAGCGTGCCTCACAGGGTTGTTGAAGCATGCCTGGCACATCAAAACACCTCGGTCTCCTGCCTGTTTGCCAACACAAAGCTCCACGCAAGCGTATCCTTTCGATGTCTTACTCTTGCATCCGGGGTGCATGCATTTTCGTTGAGTCTTCACCGAAATGCTCCCCCACACTTTTTCCGGGGGAAACGTCACCGCCGCCGGTCTCCCCCCCTTGCTCGGTCTACCAACATTGCACCTCGCCATGAGCTCCGTCGACAACATTTCGTCCCAGACTGCCCTCTCCATCTTGGCCAACCTGCCCAGTTCGACCAACACCCTTTCCAACTTCTCCACCACCTCAAGCTCTAGGCCTCCTCCCTTGATCCTCTTGTTGGCCTGATCCTCCAAGAGGGACACGTACTTTTTGAACATCACAAAAATGTTCGTGAACGTTTGCTCGAACTTGCCCTCCATCACTCGTCGCCAGTGGTTCGTGTACGACTTGTGGTCATGGGTGTGGGACCCATTCTGCTGGTCAGCCGTGTCTACTCCCCCCATGTTGGCAACATAACCCTTGCGCACCCACGGCTGCTGTAGCTCCAAGCTTTTCCCAGCCTGACCANAACATCACAAAAATGTTGGTGAACGTCTGCTCAAACTTGCCCTCCATCACTCGTCGCCAGTGGTTCGTGTACGACTTGTGGTCATGGGTGTGGGACCCATTCTGCTGGTCAGCCGTGTCTACTCCCCCCATGTTGGCAACATAACCCTTGCGCACCCACGGCTGCTGTAGCTCCAAGCTTTTCCCAGCCTGACCAGATTTGCGCAGACTGAACATGAACGGATGGGGACGGGATGGCAGGGGACAGACGAAGCACCTGGGATAGGCAACACACTTTCCACAGCAGGAACCACGCACTGGAAAGAGGGCGTCAGCCTCTATCAATAAAACAATACACAAGCCCCGATTACCTTCCCGACCGGTGGAAGCAACGCGTGTGATGAACCGAAAAAGAAAGGCACCAACGCGAATCGCTTCATGTTGTCCAAGCACGAAACCGAGGACTCCATCACACGACGAACCAGTTTGACCGACGGCTACACGAGCGAAACACCCGACATCAAAACACAGCGATCAACATGAATCTAGGGAACAACAAAAATGAAAGGTTACCTGTACGGTAGAGGTGCGACGTGGTTATCGCCGCCGTCGCCGTCCTCCTTCTTGGGCTCCCCGATGGCGGCGTGAGGTTGGGCGATGTGGATGGAGCTGCACAGAATGATTTCCTTCGAGTCTAGCCACTACACGAATGCGATATTGCCGGCGCGGGCAAAGTGCATCTCTCCCCTTCCGACGGGGCGGCGATCGAGGCTCTGCAAGTAAGGCAAGGCACCACCCGTTCGATTTGACCGGCACGTACCCACCGCGAAGATGTCGTGGCTCGCGAGACACCCGAATAGGGTCGGGTTTGTAAAGTAGTTGTCCATTGCGATGTGCACGCCAGAGCCGTCGATTTTGTCACCGAACTTCTTGCAGGCGCCGAGTAGGGCATGTAGGACGTGGCGAGTGGGCTGCCCCAGTGGGCAGTCGAACCAAATCCTCAGCTTCGCGTCCCCGTTCATTTCACCGTCGACGCTGCTGACGAAACAATACTCCTCGATGTCGCAGATCGCGAACAGCTTCATGCCTGGGTTTTCAACAACATGAGCAGAGAAGGACGATGGAACAAATTGACAAGGCTGCGCGCCAATAGCGCACGCGTGAATTGAGCGTTTGCACTCAAGGAGAGGATGCAAGCTCGATCGACTTTCGGACAGACAACGACGAGACGGTTCCAACCCCCTCGTTGGGCAACGCAATTGCTGTCGCAGTGGAACAAACGGGCGTTGAAAATCGGCCCAACGGGCGTGACATGTCATGTAACCTACGGAATATTCACCGCACGCACGCAACGAGGGCATCGTGGGTGGCCCAGTTACAGGCATNTATTGTGTTGTGATATCAACCCCCCCCCTCCAGGAAAACAAGCAGATGCAGAGGTCGTACTTGAGACCTATGCATCCCCGAGGGGATGCCGCAACGTTCCGCTAAAAATGGCATCACTGGGACCGAACATACAATCTGAGTGCCACTGAATGGACACGCNAGTATTTGTTATACATTGTCCACGCAAGGTGGGCGGGATCAACTAAAAAAGCACAATTCCCACTACATGAGGTTCTTCAAAACCGAACATGATACAAGGTCTCGACACTGTTCCGAGTGGTTTGTACCCTGTTTTTGTTTTGTTTCCTCGCGGGGTCGCATGTGCCGGGTTTTTGCGACCACGGGCTCCCCATTTTTGTGGACTAAAGAGCAAATGTGAGAAACAACAACAACAACAACAACAACAACAACAACAACAACAACAACAACAACAACAACAACAACAACAAACTATTACTAACTATCCACCGAGTCCTCCCAACGGATGTCCGGCACCAAACAGGATCAGACTCGCCAGGAATAGCCAATACGATACCATACACGAAACCCGTACCGTGGGTGATGGGCTTCTTGGGGCTGTGTCTCATGAGGTAGTGCGCGAACGTCGACACGGTCTTCACCATCTGCTCATCGTAGCACAGCCACTGGTTGAAGTCCATGTTTTCCGTCCNATAGCCTATACGACACCATACACGAAACCCGTACCGTGGGTGATGGGCTTCTTGGGGCTGTGTCTCATGAGGTAGTGCGCGAACGTCGACACGGTCTTCACCATCTGCTCATGTAGCACAGCCACTGGTTTAAGTCCATGTTTTCCGTCCATGCGTTGTTCAACATATCTTCCAGCTCTCTGCCGGTGAAGCGACGTCAAGAAATGAAAGACAGAAATTTGCAGGGAGGTGTTGCGTTAGTTACAATGAATGGTGGTGTGAAAAATGTGTGGGACATCAATGGACATGCGAACAAACACCCTGTGAATTACACATAACCACGCGAACCGTTGCTATGATAGTCCCAACCGTACGATGGTGCCAGCCTCCAGTATTCGACGCGGGGGGCGGATGGCGGAGGACAATGATATCTACTTTTTGTTGCGCGACATGCTGAAACCTTTTGGGTCTAGGAGCTACGTTACTCGCCAGTCTGCCAGTCCCAGGTTCCGTTTCGACATTTTGTTTTTCACCACACAAAAGATAAAGGGGGGAGAGAGTGCGGGAGAGAGGGAGAAGTGCAGGCATAAAGGCAGGTGTACTTTTGTAGACGCCACAACTACCTCCACCTATTCGCTACTGGGGCAGCCCGCGACAGGGCAGTGGCATCTCGTAGGGTCACCCAAGGGTTCTTGCGTCGCGGTGCGACTGGCCTCCAACTCTCTTTTCAATATTTCTGACCCTTAGCCCCAACCCATAAACTTGACCTTTGTACTTCTCTGTCACCCGCGCGTGTAAGCCCCGCCGACTCTCTAGAGTTCCTTCTTTTCCCATTAACACACTAACACAGCTCGAAGAACTTGCCAATACTCCAAGTGGAGGGATAGAGACGTCGGCAACTCCACGACTTGCTACCATACCAGCTGTTGAAAAAAAAACAATCAAATTACAGTCAGAAGGCCTGAAGTCCAACGAGGATTTGAACTAACCTGACGTGCCACTTCGAATCGAACTCTGGGTTCGGGGTCTTGTCCTCGCCCGTCCAACGAGGAGGAGCGTTGCCGTCCGAGCAGTGGATGAAACGGCAGGCAACAGCTCGAACAAGTCGCGCGACATGCACTCCCTCACTAGAGGATAGTCGTCGTGTAGCGACCTACTCCAGTGCTTTCTCATGCGCGTTTTCTTCGTGAGCCCCATCGTGATCGTGATGCCAAGCATACCGTAGATGTGCTTCCGCTCGAATGCGGGTTCGGGCAGCGTGACCATGCCGAGAGTTCTCGTCTTCTTCACCTGATGCGCTTTCCGCGTGTCCTTCGCTCCCGGGAGTGGTGGCGTGATGCAAAGGTTCACCTACTTGTTGGTCTGCGAATAGACCGCGTTTCGCGCAGAAAAGGACAGGGACAAGACGAAGGAACGAAACGATCAGCATGACATTCGCACTAGAGGTCGCGCCGACGCGCCGAGTATACCCGAGGAGGTGTTGTCACTGGATCAAGCCGTGGTAGACCAACATGTCCAATTCACCTCTTCTTCATCTGCATACTCTTTCCGCAGGCGTCTTGGAACGTCAACAACATTGAAAGGGCGCACAACAAACTATTTTGTTGCACACCTACGTAGTACCCATTTTCAACAGTTTCTTTACTTTGCGGAGGTGTATGTACCACTGTTCAATGGGGGCCCCGCGTGGGAGGTGGGGAGCTGATTTAGTCCTAACGCGAGCTTCGNGTGCTCACCTTGTCAACAAAAAGATCAATCGCCTCGTCCGGGAACATCATGTCGAAGCACGTCATCATCGACCCATGTAGCGGGAACTTGCCGGACTCGTCGAGGCTGTCCATGAACGTATCGAGGGAGGGCAGTTTCTCGCGCGCGGACGCCGACAGCGAGGCAGCGCTGACCGTCTCCCGCTGGGTTCTTTTCTTGTGGTCATCTGTCCCCGAAAAATCAGGAATGCCGCGGTCCGTCCACACGACGTCCTCGTCCTCCTCATCCTCGTCCTCATTCCCCTCCTCCTCCTGCTGCTGCTGCTGCTGCTCCTCTAGCTCCTCCCTCTCCCGCCGCTCCTCCCCCTCCACCTCCTCGCGTGGTCGATGCTGTTATATANGACAGCGAGGCAGCGCTGACCGTCTCCCGCTGGGTTCTTTTCTTGTGGTCATCTGTCCCCGAAAAATCAGGAATGCCGCGGTCCGTCCACACGACGTCCTCGTCCTCCTCATCCTCGTCCTCATTCCCCTCCTCCTCCTGCTGCTGCTGCTGCTGCTCCTCTAGCTCCTCCCTCTCCCGCCGCTCCTCCCCCTCCACCTCCTCGCGTGGTCGATGCTGTTATATATTTTTTCTCTCATCCGCCTTCTTGAGCCTCGCCTTCTCCTCGTCGGCGATCTTCTTGAGCTGTGTTGAATACGTCATTGACAAATAGCGTCGACAGCGGATTCAAGGCGGTAGGTGTTTCAATTTACCCCCCGGAGTTTTGTGTCCAATGCNGCCGCGGTCCGTCCACACGACGTCCTCGTCCTCCTCATCCTCGTCCTCATTCCCCTCCTCCTCCTGCTGCTGCTGCTGCTGCTCCTCTAGCTCCTCCCTCTCCCGCCGCTCCTCCCCCTCCACCTCCTCGCGTGGTCGATGCTGTTATATATTTTTTCTCTCATCCGCCTTCTTGAGCCTCGCCTTCTCCTCGTCGGCGATCTTCTTGAGCTGTGTTGAATACGTCATTGACAAATAGCGTCGACAGCGGATTCAAGGCGGTAGGTGTTTCAATTTACCCCCCGGAGTTTTGTGTCCAATGCGCAAAAAAAGAATGACGAACGACGCTACGGTGTCACCAACACCGACGAAACCAAGGAGCGAGGGGTAATAACATAGGTCGGCAGGGTGGGCGGGTCCGTTAATATACTACCTCTGAACTCAACGTTCGTCGCCCGCTGCTTACAATGTAAACCACACCCGTGCTGAACAACAGCAGCCTGGTACGGAGGCATCAACCTCAGCAATGCTTACGATCATGCAAGCAACCAGGGAGGTGTCGATTAACCAACGCGTAAAGATACTATTTCCTCGAGGCAAGCGACAACACGAGCCGAACGGAAGTGCATACCTTGATCCGCGTTTGTTCATTGTGGATAGGGTACTCGCCATATGGTATCCCAAGCGAAAAAAAAAAAAACCGTGGAAGTAGTATTTAGCGATGCGCACTCATTTTTTTACTCTCAAGTTTACACTACCATCATCCCTATCGCCTTCTCTTTGATCCTCCTGTTCGTGCGGACAATGCCAACAGACGAGCCTACCCGAACACAAACGTACCTTCATACCCAGCGCCCTCCTCTTGTTGGTCAGCCAGAACGCCCGCTTGTAACCCCGCTCCGGAATCTTCTTCATGGCCGTGACCAGCTTTTTCTGGTTCTGCGACATGGTAGCGAAGGCGCCCGGGGTTTGCTTGTGGTCTACGTCCCCCCCCCCGATGCTGCCGTCGGAATCATAGTTGGCATTTTCGTCTTTGCCGTTGGCCTTCGAGGAGTTCCTCCCACCGGTCGGTGTAGTCTTCTTGCCTTTTTTTTTTGCACCTCTCTCATCCCCTGGCGCACCCCCCGCCGTGCGCTTCCCTGGCGCAACCCCCGCTTTCCGCTTCCCCGGCGAATCCACCGCCTCGCGCTTCTTCCCTGGCGCAACCCCGGCCTTGTGCTTCCCTGATGCATCCCTGCCCTTGAGCTTCTTGTTCTCCGCTGTCTGCCCCGCGGTAGGTCGCTTCACCACGACCTTCGGCCCGATCTTGCCCTTCTTTTTCTTTCGCGCTCCAGCCTGTCCCCCCTCCTCCCCGCTGCTGCTGCTACTGCTGTTGCTGCCGCGCGGGAGAGGTCCCATGCTGAACTCCGGATGGTCCTCCTCTTCTCCACCCACCATTGAGGACCTTACCGCCTCCCCGCTCGCTGTGTAAATCGCTGACGGCATCAACGTCACCGTGCCTAGTTGCAGCGTCGCTGATGCAACGACTTCGACGAAGGAAGCAACTGCATTGTGTCCAAGCTGCAGACGGTCGAAGTGGTTGAGGTTATGGTATTGATTACGCGCCNGCAGCTTCGCTGATGCAACGACTTCGACGAAGGAAGCAACTGCATCGTGTCCAAGCTGCAGACGGTCGAAGTGGTTGAGGTTATGGTTTTGATTACGCGCTAGCCATGGATTCGCGTGCTCTCGATAGAGTAGATGCACCCAGTGATCTCCTTCCTCGTCCATTTTGTCTTCTTTCTCGAACAAGAACATGCCTGCCGTGTTGTTTCCTGAGTAAGCCTGGACTGTGCCGTGCTTAGCGCTTGGCTCCCACACCATGATATTCACCCCGTACTCCGAGGCCAGGAAGGACATCCAGGTAACGTCAATCCACTTCTCCGCACTATGCCAGGCTAGATCGCACAACCACCTAACCGTCTTATCCTCCGCGGCCATCCCGTGTTCGACATCTCCTAAAACATGCGGTACCTTCACACTCAGGGCCCGCCCAAGTTGGTCCTTTGAGAGTACCGCTGTCGAGTCCTCAGGGACATCGGGTGCGCCGACGACATGTTCTATGGCTCTACGGGCACCCGCTGCCCGCATTTGCTGCTCGTTGGGAGTCCTCGCTCTACCCAGGCAAGCTTGCAGACCCGCACGCAGCGCGTTCCACCCGCATTTTCCATCCCCTTCTACAGTATGCACACCAGCTCCAGCCAAGGGGGTGATAACCCTCCCACCTTGTGTCAATGTTGTGCTGCACTTCAAGCTGAGCGCCTGACGCCCACCGATGTGCTCCCGTACCCTCCGGCCCAAAGCACTCGGTGGGGGAGCTAGCTCCTGTCTCTTGTCAACTCGCAACACAACTTGGTGGTCCGAGTCCGAATCCACAGCAGGAGTGTTCATAGAGCTCGTGCAAAAAATCGCCAGAAGCACGACAAAAAACGGCCTCATTCTCGCATTTCAGCGTGCTGGATTGTGGTCCCTTTTGCACAGCGCGGGTCCAATGCTCGGCAACGTTGCAACTCCAAAGCTTTGATTTTATGTGTGGGGACTCTACTGCTGCTGTCCCCGTCGTTATTTAGTTCCTTTTCGACGGTCTACTCGTCCAGTCCAGCCCTCGTCGACGCAGGTATCCACAGCTCACTTCGGGCTCAATTCGGTTCGATAAATGTCGCATTAAAGGGTCATCGGAGCTGGGAACGGAGCTCATTCGTGGGTGTAGTCACATAAGGGTAAACATTCCGTACACTTCTAGACCCTCCTTATTATCGTTGGATTCTTTTCTTAGATACTGTTCTTCTCTCTCGGCACAAGCAACAGATATCTTCTCCTTGAACCCCTGTAGACCCTCCGTTTCCAGCGTTTCATCTCCGTCGACGTCGAGCCCCTTCCATACGTCCTCTACAACCTTGACCCATTCCGTGGGTTGTCTATCCCTCTTTTTGTTTGCCCACTTCGCCTCCCATACAATTCTCGGCAACCTCTCCTCTCCCATCCCGCACATGCGATACTGCCATGTCAGCTTCCTCGCGTCTCCTCACGACCGTAGGGATTGGGTCCCCAATTCTGCCCTGACGGTTGCACTACTTGTGCGCTTGCAGCATCCCAGGATGATTTTCGCTGCTTTCATTTGCGCCGCCTTGAGTTCTTTCACTACCTTCTTATTTCCTTCCCATACTTCTCCGGCGTACTCTAGCGGCGGTACGATTACGCCTTTCAAAACGGTCAATTTGATGCGTGTATCGAGGTGCCGGTTTGCGAGTATTGGGTACAGCTTCCCTGTTCGTGCTTTGCCCTTTTCCGCTACCTTGGACATGTGTGCATTCCACGAGCAGTCTTTTGCGATCTCTAATCCGAGGTATGTGTACTGGTCCACAACTGCAATCTCCTCGATCCCCCACTTTCATCTATGTTCAGCTGGTTCATCCTTGTTCTCGTTGCATACCATGGCGGCACTCTTCTTGGCGTTGACACACAATCTCCATTTATCAGTAAACTTCTTCGCCGCGTCAATTTGCAGTTGCAGTCCCTCAGGGGTGTCCGACATACCGACAAAATCATCCGTACACAGCATTCCTGAAACCGACGTTTCCGTGTTCCCTACTTTTNTTGCGATCTCTAATCCGAGGTATGTGTACTGGTCCACAACTGCAATCTCCTCGATCCCCCACTTTCATCTATGTTCAGCTGGTTCATCCTTGTTCTCGTTGCATACCATGGCGGCACTCTTCTTGGCGTTGACACACAATCTCCATTTATCAGTAAACTTCTTCGCCGCGTCAATTTGCAGTTGCAGTCCCTCAGGGGTGTCCGACATACCGACAAAATCATCCGTACACAGCATTCCTGAAACCGACGTTTCCGTGTTCCCTACTTTTACCCTTCCGGACTGCCTCTACGACTTCCAACAGATCGTTGATGAACACCTGGAGCAACGTCGGGGACAGCGTGCAACCTTGAGGGGGGCTTGTTTTACCACGTCGTTACCAAGCGACGAAAACCCAACCCCGATGGTGAACACCGGGGGGGGGCGGGGGGGGTGAAATAGTATCACGAGGGACACGGGGATAACAAGTGTGCTCGGGCGTCATGGTGACGTCGTGCGATGTTGATACATGCACAACTCCAGATGCCGGCCGCCGCTCGCCGCGGTAGCCAAGTCTTGAATCTACCAGCCGCGGTTTGTGACTTCGATTCCCTCTCTGGATTGAAAAAAAGAACATGTTTTGAAATTCAATTTGTGGTGGAAAGGATTAGCTTGTGAGTATTCGCACACGCTTGAACCACGGTCGACGAGGGAAAAGATGGCTGACAGACACCGCAGGACACGGGGATAACAAGTGTGCTCGGGTGTCATGGTGACATCGTGCGATGAAGATATATGCACAACTCCAGATACCGGACGCCGGTCGCCCCGGTGGCCTAGTCTTGAATCTACCAGCCGCGGTTTGTGATTTCGATTCCCTCTCTGGAGTGAAAAAAAGAACATGTTTTGCAATTCAATTTGTGGCGGAAAGGATTAACTTGTGAGTACGCACACACTTGGACCACGGTCGACGAGGGAAAAGATGGCTGACAGACACAGCAGGAGCAAAGGCGCCTACTCAGGTATTTTGTCTTATTTGCCTACCTGCCACCAAATTGAAGAGCTCCACCCCAGTGTACAACAACAGCAGTCTTACCCAAATCGAGAGGCGCTACCCTGCCAGCAAGAGATTTGGGGCACACCTACCTCTGCCACCTGCCCCGCGGAGGCTTTTCATTCCGCCGCGTTTCAACCGTTAAATTATCTCGTCTGTGTTCCCCTAGGTCAAATTGAGCAGACTTTGGTGAATGTGCGTGTTATGGCACCCATTGTTGGTTTGGCACCCATTTGTGTCATGGCACCGGAGTGTGCAAAAAAATCAAGAACATGATTTTGTTGCATGTTCGGCATCGGTATCGGTGTTAACGCACCCGATGCGATATCAACGATATTGAACCTGCTTAGGACGAAAAGTTGCATGCTTCCCCAGGTACCGGTACTCTCTGGGCCACGTTACGAACGGCATGTAACGAACGGCGCTAGGGTAGGTATCAATTCGGGCGCGATCCGTTCGTTGCGTTCGAATATCGTTCCGACGAGGTAGTAGGTGTGCACGTAGAAAACATTCAAAAATGGTCACTGTGATTTGTTTAGCATAGCACCCCGATCATTGCACCCGAGGGGTGTTGGAAATCTAGAACGAAATGATAAATTACATTTTCGCACTGGTGTCGGCGTTATGGCACCCATCGGTGTTACGCACCGGGGTACGATAAAAACCAAGATCGGAATGATGCAAAGTAGATCGCACTCCGGTCCCATAAAACACACTTCCAGGTAGCAATGCTTGTCCGTCGCGCTACTGTACTTTGTTCGTGACAAAGCTATCGGCGTGACGCACCGTCCCGCATCATGACAAAGACACAAAATACGAGAATACCATAGAGGACCAGTAAATTTGCCCAAGAGGCAAGTTGCACTGCCAATAGTGAGTATGCCTTGCGGATATTTTTCGTGTAGAAAAATATGCCCTGCCTAACGGTTGCGGAAACGAACAAAGCCCACCATAAACCAGAAATTGACGCCCCCCACATGCCCCCCCCCTCGGTGTTTGCCATCGGGGTTGGGTTTTCGTCGCTTGGCAACGACGTTGTAAAACAAGCCGTCCCCCTCGGTGTTTGCCATCGGGGTTGGGTTATCGTCGCTTGGCAACGATGTTGTAAAACAAGCCAATTCACTTCGTGAACTCGGCAACCAGGTTACCGTT